ATATGCACCCCAATTTTGTGCCCTCCTAATTGTGACATCTAAGTGGCCAAAGTGTTGCTTATCAATCTAATCGATAAGACAAATATGCACTCCAATTTTACGCCTAATCATGACATCTATGTGGTAAAAAAAAAAGTTATGATCCTCAACTGAGTGGTGTCCGAAAGTTACAACGCTTGTGATGTCATTATCCCGAGATATATGTTATGAACATTTACGCTATATGGTATTTGCACTTACCAAGTAAATGCAGATCAATGTATATAATACAGGAAAATTACCAAAACAGTCCTAAACTTATTGCAATTGTGCCAATTCAGTTCTAAACTTTTTGCATTTATGTCAATTCAGTCCATCCGATCAATGGTGACATGGACGCTGGCCGGCTAGGTGACGTTGATGTGGCAATTTTTAAAAAAAATTTAGAATTTTTTTATTTTTTTCCCTTTCTCTTTCTTTTTTATTTATTTTTGCTTTCCTTCTTCCCCTGGCCGGTTGCCAGACCAACCAAGGGCTAGGGGCAACGAGGTGACCTAGTCGGCCATTGGTGAGGCTCGCCCTCGTCAGCACTGGCGAGGGCGAGCCTTGACCTCGCTGTTGCAGGCGGGGTCGGCCATGGCGAGGGCGACGACCTAGCCATTGCTAGGCAAGCTCGCCCTCGCCCAGATCTGGCGAGGTTGAGCCTCGCCTTGGTTGTGGGCGAGGGCTAGCCTCGCCATAGTTGGGCAAGCTCGACCTCACCCAGCAACGGCGAGGTCGTCGACCTCCCCATGGCCAACCTCACCCACGACAAAGAGCTCGAGGCTCGCCCTCGCCAACGTCGGCCAGACAGCCGGCGTCCATGTCGGCGCGCCGACCGAATAGACTGAATTGGTACAAATGCAAAAAGTTTCGAATTGAATTAGCCAAAAAAAAATGTTTATGACTGAATTGGGGCAATTGCAATAGATTTAGGACTCTTTTGGTAATTTTCCCTATATAATACCGTTGAGCTACTTGCTGGTGTTTTGGCCGTATCATCATTACATTTACTAACTGCAGAAAAAGGCAAAATACATGTGCCGATGGAGATGCATTATGCAAATGTAAGGATACTACAACATTAATGCAAATATGTAGCTCGCATGATCTTGTACCGATATGTGGTAGGGCTGTAGGGCTCGTTCCGAATATAAAACTAGGCTTTGTTAAAAGTTAAGAGGCTGAAAAGGCATGAGCCGTCAAGCTGAATCGTTCCAATTCTGATTTGTCGCCTAATAATATTCTACTAATGTTATAGATTGAGAACAATTTGCTCTCACGTGTGTCAACAGCGCTTTTTCATTTCCTCTTCCCTTTTGTTGCCCTTTGTTTTACCTTTTGGTTTACATAGTTCAATTGTCAACCTTACAGGAAAAGTCAAAATACACATTCTATCAAACCTTAATCCCAACTAGGGTGGCCGAGACATTAACCGTGTGACAAGTGTACCTTTTTCTTTCTTCTCACTCTTGTTCGAAATTGACCAATCTGTCATATTTTGAATCTTAGTTGCTATAAGGTAAAGGAGAGCCCAAAACGAGAAAAACAATTTGTTATTCTTTCAAGATTGTACTTTTGTGGTGATCTTCGCACGTTTTTTCTGCCTATGTATCTGATTCTCAGTATTGGCATATTGGGATTTCCTCTCCTTGGCTTAAATCCAATATCATAGCGCAAACAACAGTTTATACCAACTGTTGATATCAAGAAAAGCATTAATAATCACCGGATGCTCCAATTGAGTGGTATTTGTTCAAACCACCATGAATCGATCGATCACTCGGACGAAGAAGCAAATTATTTAACAGTTTAAGCCTTTCCACGAAGCAAAGATACAAATCCAAGTCAATAGATTGAACAAAATAGCCGACCTATATGTTTTGAATGACTGAATAGGGAATACTAATTGTGATAACACCATTTAAAAACAAAAACAAAAAAAGCTTTCCTTATTAGCTTACATAAAAGAGTCAATAATAGCTATTTCACGAGGAAATGATGGAAAGATGAAGAAAATTGTATATTTGCAACTTACAGTGATTGAAACAGAGCATTGACTTAAACAAAAATCATTGACCCATAGCATTAACTCAAATAAAACAATCGAAGACAAATCTTGATGCTCAATAGTATAGAATACTTGACTAGGTGGCAGCCTTCTTTGTGAGTAGTGCAACAAATCCAATTCTTGCAATAAGGAGTCTCTGGTGTACTTAGAAGGCACGTGCGACAACTCAGACATGGATAATGTGGGATGACATATCTGAGAAACAATGTAGTAATTAAGGAATTTCCTAATTTTGATTAGAGCTTAATATAAATTAATTTCTAGTTTAAATTAGGTCATCATATAAAGTAGGCAGTTTTCTATATTAGCTTTTAAAGAAAATCACAAAAATATTGCATGCATATCTCATGTATAATTAATTAATTTCATAATATCCGCATTAAGTAATCACAAGCTTATGGTCATATAAAAGTTGCATGTCACACTAGATTAGTCATAACTCTTTGCCCATCATTAGGATTAGCTCATGTATAGATGGTATTTAATTGATCCATGTCACAAGTCATTAGTTTAGTAATTTATGCATGTTAAATTAGAATTCACGTAATCATATAATCTGATTACATTGCATTCATGTCTTAGGAAATTTTAAGTAATATCATGTTAGAAAAATACAAAAAAAAATGTTAACATGGGTTTCATATTAATAATTAATTTATGCGCATCATGTCGCATTCACATTTGTATTAGTGATTTGTAGGAACCTCGTCATGATTTTGACTAGGGTTACTTAAAGCATTGAGGTTTGATACTTTCTTTTACTTTATTATTTTGATTTATTGAGTGTTAAATTCATGATCGCACACCGCATGATTATCTCTTCCATGTTAGTGATTCAGAATTAAATTGACCAAGACTGCTTTCAAAATATTTTTGAAATAGAGAGAAAAGATACCGAAAGGTAATCAAGTCTAAATCTCTAGTCCACAAAAGTAAAATGTTTTCTCACATTTTACTTTGGTTTCTAATCGATCCATAATAAATTAATGGCAACTCCAAAATGAATTAAAATTGCATGTTTAAATAATTAAATTAAAACCCCAAAGTTGCAATTGGTATGGGATTGGGAGAGTCTACGCTAAGTATTTGCTTAGTAATCTATTAGCTTTCCATTGGTGATTCACCTCTGGAAAGGTCGCGACAAGGACCCACCCAAAGATTTCGAACCACTATCTTTATTGGCCCTAAAACTAGCTCAAACTTAGCTCCATCCAGGATTCATCTGAAAATTTTAAAATTTGGAGTTGCTTGATACCATATTGAGCAATGGGAATAAATACATACCTAAAATTACTCGAGATCCGAACAAAATGTATTTTGTATCTTTTTAATTTATTCAGATGACGAGAGAGTCCGATTGAGGTAGGTAATCCTCCCTTTGATATATTATATTGATTTTGTAGACCAGGTGTGACGCGATGAAACTTTATGATGCAGTGGAAACGGGAATAACCTAAATCGAGATGTGCAAGCACGAGTTGCAACTCTCAACGCACACACAAGCGCGCACATGAAGCATAATAGAAACAGCTCTCCATTTTCTGTCACTCATTCAAACGCAAGCTAATTTTATAATAAATATCTTAATTGAAGGAAGCGCATATGTAAATTTACATTCATAAATGATAATGAGCTTGATTTATGAACATGGTTGATTCGAGATTTTCTTTTCCTAGCGTTTTGCATCCACAGTCACGGTATAATCACATAAAAAGACTGCATCCACATCCAACTGCCCGAGAGCATTGTGTCTTTGCATAGAAACACGCTCTAGGATGGCTTTTCTCTCAGAAAAATTATCAAAAAAGTCATAAACTTATTACAATTGTGCAAATTCAATTTTAAATATTTTTTTTGCCAATTAAGTCCTAAACATAATGCATTTGTGCCAATCAGTCCATCTAGAAATTGCTGACATAGACAATTTTTGTAATTTTTTAAAAATTTTATGAATTTTTTTTATTTTATTTTTTTCTCTTTTTTTCCTTTTTTTTTTGCTTTTTCATTGGTCGGCGACCTCGCCGGGGCTGGGTTGGCGGGGTTTGCCCTCGCCGAATCTAGCAAGGGTTAAGCCTCGTCCAACCCCTAACAGCCCTCTCCAAAACTTGTTGTATGTTTTTCGTTTCTTGTTTTCTTTTTCCTTTTTTTAACTTCCTCCTTCATTTTCTTCCTTGGTTTAGCAACGGTGAGGCAAGTGATGGGGTAGGAACAATGGTGGCAAGGGCGATGTAAAGAGGAAGGAGGAAGGACAAAAAAAAAGGAAAAAAAAAATCTTGATGGAGGATAAATGTGCAGCACGGATCTAAGTTTATGATTTTTAATGTCATAAAAAATAAGTTTGGAATAAACGTGCCATAAGGATACAAGTGTGAGGTTTTTGTACCACAAAAAAAATTTGGGATTTTTGGTGTAACACAAGTATAAGTTTGATGTTTTTAGTGTCACAAAAAAGAAAGTTTAGGCTAAATGTGTTAAAATGGGCATAGTTTGAGATTTTTTATGGCTTTTAACCTTGAACAAAAATTGAATTACCCTTCTTTTCTTTCAGTAATTTCATGAGTAATGATGAGGCTAAATCGAAGTAATCTTGTGAGAGAATTAAGTCAGAACTGGCCGTGAATATTTTATCTAAAATAACAAATAAATGGCACAAACACGCAGGCTTTGGATATTCAAGTTGACATGAAGGTAGGCGAAGGAGATTCAAGTTGACATATTCTCGGGCTGCCATGGGGCTTTCTCTTTGACACAATGAAATCATCAGACGTTGATTTTGATTTACGAAAATCAGTTCCATTTCAATAATTGACATTTGTCTACGGATAAAAGATCTCCATCCATAAAGATCCATTTGCAAGAAATAGAGAATATAGGGAAAAAAAAAAAAAGAGGACTCAGATTACCATGGAGATTCATAGACCATGCATTAATTTATTGGCTAACACACACTTCATTACATCCCTCATACTCTCCCTAACAAAATAGCCAAAATACCAAGTCCTATGGCGGTCAATTGAAAAATGTCAACATTACGCTTTGTCAAAGGTGGAACCATGCCTCTCTTACTCGATTCTTGAGTGTCGCACGTATCTTCACTAGTCATCATTGAAGACACCCAACTTCTAACATCGTCGTAACGCTTTGCCTTGTAATATGGTATTAGGTCTTTGAGTTCAAGGGAGTCGTAAACATCCAAGCAAAGCGAGAGACCTTCGAGCAGGTGAGGTTCCGGTTTTTGCTTCATTAGTTGCTTAATATACTCAATCGTGCCTGTCAAGTTGGCTTTTAACAGCTTGAGCCCAATCAGCCCTAGTCCCTCGAGATCCGCCTCATGGCTCTCCGACTCTGACCCAAGAGACTTCACGCAGAAGTCAAAGTTCAAGTCTGGGACATCGGTTGCCATCTTCTTGCAAGTGTCCTGAACAATATCATTGGCGGATTGGACACAATGGAAGATCATAAGGAAAAGGATCAGGATTAGGGAAGAGATTGAGAGTGCACGATTCATTTTTCTTATCACGGAGATGGAGATTTTCACGAAATTTTCTTATGAAGACAACATATCTATACTGAAAGGACTGGTCATGTTATATACATGGTATAATGCCAAACCAAATTTATTATTAAACAGTGTATAAGGATAGATATCTTAGAAGAGGTAGGTTGGTTAGGCAATCTCATTGGAGTTTAATAAGATTGCCTAATTAACCTGCTTGTAGCCATAATTATAGAAATCCAAATCATATCCTAATAAATACTGAGATTCTCCAATAAGATTTCCAAATTGACTTGCTTGCAGCCATAATTACCAGAAATCCAAATCATGTCCTAATTAAAGCCAGATTCTCCTATAAGATTGCCAAATTGACATGCCTCTTCGAGAATATTTATCCTTAGACATTGTCTAAAAATGAACTATATATATGTATATATTCTTCTAGACTATAAGTGATCGTAGCCTGTAATTTTGGATACGGTGATTTAATAGTCTTTCCAAATATACACTTTTTAGCCTCAAAGCTTTCACCTTCCGCAAGTGATCACAACCTATAGCCTCGGATGACTCCCCTTTCTGAAAATACATATGGTACAACGAGCTTTTGTAGCTTGGAACAATTTATACATGGCAAACTTCCTCATTGAAGCTATCTTTTTCATCATGACAAGGCAAGTTTCCGCAGCCCGGAGTACTTCAAATATAGACATGACAAGCTTTTGCAGCTTGGCGTGTCTTCTTTCCGTCAAATGTCAATGTAACATCTCAGAAATTACTTCTAATGATGATTTGTAGGCCCAGCGACCTTTTGTAGCCTGAAAAACCTCTTCATCACGATATGGCAAGCTTCTGCAGTCTGGAGTCTCTCTTCATCATGACACAATGAGCTTCTGTAGCTCGACGTCTCTCTTTAGCATGGCATAGTGAACTTTCGCAACCCGGAGTCCTTTTCATCAACAAATTCCGCCAAAATTCTTCCTTTTAAGCAATTTCAGGTAAATACCTCTTTTCTTTATAGATCTCATAAAAAAAACATTTTTAACCCAGAAATAGGGTTCGGTAGAGAAAAGAGTGGAGAGAGTAAAAGCATTAATGAGTGAATGCGCCGCAAACGACACAAAGGCTCAAGTAAACTTCCAAGGTTCGTCCGCGATCAAATGTCGTCTTCCCATTCGTTTTCTTGCATTATGTTAAGTCAGCCGACTAAAATTCATGTATCATTAGTCTTTGAAAGGCTCTAAGAGAGACAGCTGTTAATACTTAATTTTAGTCAACAAGTCTAACGAAGGTAAAAACTCAAGATTATGGATTCAATGTTTTTCAAATTTATTTCAGTTCCATCACATTCTGTTTAAACTTTAGACATTGATTTTTCCAATAACCCAAGTATGTCTTTAGAGTTGACTTTTTGGTCAACCCTAAAGTCAAACTTTTGTCATCATTTTGAAAATTTGAAAATAAAATGATTCGTTAAGTTAAAATTTTCAAGCTTAATTGGACTTTGAATTCTTAAATTTTACAAAAAATGATCGAGAATCGACTTTTTGAGCAAACTAACAATCTAGACTCTTGATTGCGAAATTTCAAAATATATTGATTTCTAGTCATTTTTTAGGTTTTCTTCTGTCTCGACATTTGATCTAGGGGTCATAAAGCAATAACATTTCAAGTCAATTTTAAGAAATCAAGCTTGAAATGGGTCAGCCAATTTTTGAGCGTCAATTTGGGTCCCCAGTCGGTCCTTCATAAATAGTGCCAATTAGCCTAATTTGAATCCGATTAAGCCAAATCAACTCAATATTTCATTATCAATTTTGGCTAAATCAAGGTAATTCGGCATAACTTAGCTAAAAATGATCAACCGGGACCAATGGGATCAATCCAGGTCAACCCGATTGACCCGACCTGATTCGGTTACTTGGGCCAAAGCCCAATTCAGCCAATTAGTCTAAATCAAGTGCAATGGCTAACCCCCGTAGTGCAATTGAAAGAAAATTAAAGCAATTGGAATAAAAGCCCACCACGCAACTGTCGTTTTATTATAATAAATTGAAATTATTGGCCTTTAACTATGGCATTGTCGCAATTACAAAGCGATGAACTCAATCGTATTAAATATTCATTCAAAGTTGTTGACTTCATTGAGTTGGTCATGCTGTCCAACGTGTCCGTACAAAAGGGTTAGAATTTAATTTTGCTTACCAAGTCATAACTTTTCTATGAACTCAATGAGTAACTTATTTCGAAGATGAACTCAAAGGCAATTTAACTGTGCAATCATCTACTTCATAAGCTTAAACCGTTAGCATACGATGCATATTATACTCATAAACTTACCATAATTAACTCTAATACTAACATAGATTTATGTGCGTAACCATTTATTTAAAATTTGGAAATTTTAGTATGATTCAAATTATACTTTTATAGCTTAATTAATCCTGTTAAACAATCTTCAAATAGAATGAAAGATCGAGCAATGATGACCAACATGAGAATAGTCAAATGGGGGAACATATAATATGAATATAAACCACTTTTGGTGGTCGCATTATAGATTTGTATGTTAAAGAATTACAAATGCTTGTCATATTACGACGAGCTGATGATTAAAGAATGGAAAACCCCACATGCAGGAGATCTTCACGATCAATGTACGGCTGTACTTATTGTCAACGAAGAAAATGACTGTTGATGTCGTGCTTTCCTTGATTTGTGATTCCTTTTCACCTTACTTTTGCAGCTTGAGGTTTTTGAAATAGAATGAACCAATTTGCACTCCAATTTTGCGCCCTCCTAGTTTAGAGACCGGAAGTGAAAGGCACGCTTGTCGCCGGCAACCAAGAGTTGCCGGCGATGAAGTTCCCGACGGTGAACTTTGACGCCTCGGACGCGCTAGTGATGACCCGGTAACCACCCCATTTCACTCTGTTCTTAGTTGATGACCCGGGTCCGGTATTCATATACTCACCATAGTACAAGGTCTTGAGAGCAAAGTTGTCATTCCACTCCATCCAACCAGCAGGTTGAATCAAGCTATCAAGATAAGTCTTCATGAAGACGGTTCTGGAATATTCTTTCCACGGTCTACCGAGGTAAGTCTTAACGGAGCTTTGGACCGGTTTTAGATCTGAAGCTGCAGTGACCCGGCAATTGTGGATGGAGATGCCGGTGTTTTGATTCAGATCAGTTCGACCTTGTGCGGTGATAGTGTTAGTTTTGTTGGGAGGGTTTCGGGGGTAGATGTTGCAATTCTGTAAAACAACAGCGGCGTTTCCAAAGATGAAGTCCACCGTCCCATAGATGTCGCATTCTTTATAAAATTGTCGCTCGGAGTGGACATAGAGGGTGTCTTGATAGCCTTCAAAGCTGCATTTGTAGAAGATGGAGAGATCAGAGCCAGACCGTAGGGCAACTGCTTGGTGCTTGGCCGCGCCGGCGGTGTTGCGGAAAGTAATGTCCCGGGCTACGAACCCGTCACCAACGACAGCTGAAAAGACAATAAAGATTAGACCACAAGGCGAGGTCAAAGTATATGAATAAGCAACATTTTTCATCATAACAGGCAAAGATATGTGAATTTTCACATCAAAAGAAGTCGCGATCTTGTATGTCCCCATAGGGGGAAAAGTGTCAAAAAAGTCCTAAACCTTTTGCATTGGTGCCAATTTAGTCCTAAACCTTTTTTTGGTGCCAATTTAGTCCTAAACCTTTTACATTTATGCCAATTTAGTCCTAAATCTTTTACATTTATGCCAATTTAGTCCTAAACCTTTTTTTTATACCAATTCAGTCCTAAACCTTTTGCATTGGTGCCAATTCAGTCCTAAACCTTTTGCATTAGTGCCAATTGAGTCCTAAACTTTTTTTTTGTGTCAATTGAGTCTTAAACTTTTTGCATTGGTGCCAATTCAGTCCTAAACCTTTTGCATTTGTGCCAATTCAGTCCTAAATATTTTTGAGCTAAATTAATCGAAAGGACTGAATTGACACAAATACAAAAGGTTTAGGACTGAATTTGCATCAATGCAAAAGGTTTAGGACTCAATTGGCACCAAAAAAAGGTTTAGGACTGAATTGGCACCAATGCAAAAGGTTTAGGACTCAATTGGCACAAATGCAAAAGGTTTAGGACTGAATTGGCACAAAAAAAAAAGGTTTAGGACTAAATTGGTACCAATGTAAAAGGTTTAGGACTTTTTGACACTTCTCCCCCCCATAGGCTGATGTCAATAATCCCTTTCACGTTCTAGTTTTGCTTCATTGTCAAACATATCGTGATCATCTATTAATAGACATTCAAAAAGCTAGCTACGAATTGACTAGAAAAAAACAAAGGAAACGTAAGTTCAAAACATGTACTTGTACATGTGTATCAATAGTTCAAAGTTGTTCTAGACACTGACCCTTTTACGACTAAGATTTCCAAAAGGACAAACCATCCGATCACATAAGATTTGAGAAGCATTATTATGCTTTGTCCCATCATTTATCAATATGGCATTCATGATCTAGACTTAGTATCTATTACGTCTATACAATTATTTCTGAATTACATCCACTTATTCAAAGAGGGCCATGGTCCAAGCATTTAATTAACACGATTGCCTTCTCTCTAAGCAATCTAGAAATCTAGAAAATGTATGGACTTTTCATCCAGAATGAATGAGAGCAATTAACAGCACCTATTGACCGGCATTTGGAGGCAAGGACCAGCCACAGAAAAATTTGTGTGGTTTCCATGAATAGACGCGTTAAAATGTCCTTGGATGTTGTCTCTTTCCTTGATGATGATGGCATGCAATAGATGGGTACGTCTCCTTCGTGAAGTCAATGCTAGACCGGGCTAAAGTCAAAGACCATAATTCTTCCCTAGTTTAGGCTTAATTAATTATATTTAGCAGCTGCTAGATCCTAATATTCGTCAATGAATTCATTTACTAACTACTATTTCGGACATTATTTTTAGAATATTAGCTCTTTTCAACTAATATATCGAATACAAGTCAATATTTTACGTGGAATGCATAAGTCGATGTGATCTA